AAAAAAAAAAAAGAATAGCTGAATAGTTAATATTAATTTTTCAGGTTGTATCACAATATCCCAACATCAAGGTGGCTGCCCCTCAGTAGTCTAGTCAACATGCCATATTCCCATTTGGAACTGGACCATAGGAACACTAACTAGATGATAGCATAAGAAATCAATCCCCAACTTGGCTTCATCAGTTTTCTAAGTTCTTTGCCACCATCATTTAAATTGAGCTCATTAATAAACTTTATTTTCACAACAGAAATATCCATGCATTGTTCCTACTTATTTTGACTGATTAGATTTCACTTATAAATTACAGTCAGAATTCTAAAGACTGAAATCATTGCCCTACTAGCTCAGCTATTTTGGTTCACAATATAAATTCTATAAAACATTTCTGATTCCAAAAAATTAAAGCACAATAAAGTTGTGTGATCAAACTGAAGTTCTGATTCTAAAATTTTGTCATGGCACCAGACAAAAGGCAAACTTATATAAGCTCAGAAAAGTAACGTTATTCTGAAGTATACAGAACTGAAATTTTGGGGGAAAATATTGTATTTATTAGTACATATGTTTCCTTACAGTCCTAGGCAAGAATTTTGATGATATTTTTGGTAAAATCCTTTATAAGTAAAAGTATCTTCAGCTCCTTTCCATTGATTGATAGATTTGTGACTTTTCACCCCACTCTTTAGGCAGCTGTGTCAACTCTTCAAGAAATGGCACCAGGAACAACATTCAAAACAGTCATTGGTGATTCAGCTGTGGACCCAAAACAGTAATTTGATGTGTATCTCTATTTTCATACTCTGTAGTAGAATTTTAATTAGTGGGAAAACTGGTTCATGTTAAAGAACCCAGAGTGACCTAAAGCTATTTTATACTTATCTAAGTCCTTTAAGTCAGTGGGGTAGGAGTTCAAGAAAACATGGAAGGGTGAACTTTGGGGCATATGCTGCTAAAGAAGTCTTGGCAGGATGTAGCATATGACTGAACCCAAGTACAGAGACCCCCCACCACTGCAGTGGTGAAGCATTTAAATCTACATGGCCTCCTCCCTTCTCTTCTGACACAGTTCTTACTTTAAGATATTTCTCCCCTACCCCATGGTCCCTTCTCTCCCAACAGTGTTAAGAGTTTAGTGTTCTGCTCTGGCAAACATTTCTATGCCCTGCTGAAGCAAAGAGAATCTTTGGAGGCTAAGAAGCAGGACTTTGCCATCATCCGAATAGAGGAACTCTGCCCTTTTCCACTGGATTCCTTACAACAAGAGATGAGCAAGTACAAATACATTAAAGGTAAGGGGTTGTTCGGTTTGGGTTCTCTGGTTTTCGGATACTGAAACCTATTCACATGATCTCAGATGAAGAGGGTATAGGGTAGTGACTGTTACTTGGGAGCTGAATCTTGTGGAGTCTGGAGAAGGAAACAGTACCGCTAGAGCCAAGCATCTCCATGCCTTTTTTGATGTCCCTTTCAGTCTCTCCTTCTCTCATTAAGATGTCTCATTTCTTGGGAGTTTGGAGGTAGTCAAGGCTGTACTTCATTTATGATAAATCCAGTAAAACTGTCAAAGACAAGCTTTTTCAACAAAGGGGGCTGGAATAATTAGATGTGTACCTATGCCTTATACAGAAATTAACTAAAAATTAGTTATAGACCTAAATGTAAATGTAAAGCTATGAAGCTTCTGGAAGAAAACGGGAGAAACCCTTTGTGACCCTGGGTTAGGCAAAACGTTCTTAGAAAACCAAAAGCATGTTTCCTGATAGCATAATTGGACCTTATCAAAATAAAAAACTTGTGCTTCATGAAGTGCACTGCAAAGAAAATAAGAAGACAAACCACGGACTAGGAGAGGATTTTTGCAAATAGGTATTTGACCAAGGACTAGCCAGAATGTTTAAAGAACTCTGAAAACTCAAAAGTAAGAAAATAATCCAGATTTTAAAAGTGTGCAAAAGTCATGAGCAGCCACTTAGCAAAGAACATGATGGCAATTAAACATATGAGAAGATGCTCAACATGAGAAGTGATAAGGGAAATGCAAATTAAGCCAAGAAGTGATAAGGCTACACACCTATTGGAATGGCTGAAATTAAAACACCAGATTGGCAATATCAAGTGCTGATGAGGAAGCAGAACCCCCCTTCACTGCAGGTGAGAATGGGTATAGGCATTCTGGAAAACAGCTTGTCAGTTTCTTACAAGATTACCTGTGGAGTTACTGTGTGACCCAACAGTCCCACTCTGAGGAATTTACCAAGTTAAGTAAAAACATGTTCACAGAAAAATATGTACATGAATGTTTATGGCAGCTTCATTCAGAATTGTTCCAAACTGGAAACAACCAAAATGTCCTTCAACAGGTAAATGAATAAACAGCCTTACCTCATTGTACAACTCAACAGTAAATGAGAGTGAACTGTTGCTACAGGCAAAACCACACATGGATTTTGCTAGTTCAAGGAAGCCAAACCCAAAAGGCAATCACTGTATGATTCCAGCTGTCTTACATTCTGGAAAAGACAAAACTATAGGAAGAGAGAAAAGATCAGTGGTTGCCAGAGGTTGGGCTTGGGGAAGGGTGTTGACTTCAAAGGGTCAGGATGAGGGAATTTTGGGGAGTTGATAGAATTGTTCTGTATCAGGGCTGTGGTGGTGGATATGTGACTATGCAATTGTCAAACAAACAAACAAAAACCACCACCATGCCACATAGGAAAGGCATATATTTACTTTAGTAAATACATACATACATGTATGTGTATATGTGTATGTAATCTATGTGTGTGTATATATATATATATATATATATATATATATACACGGTATGCATTCATGTGTGTGTGTTGTGTATGTTTACTTGGGGTGCTGAAATGAACTTTCTTCTTTTATAGATTTTATTTGGAGTCAGGAGGAGCCTCAGAACATGGGTCCATGGTGTTTTGTTTCTCCAAGGTTTGAAAAGCAACTGGCCTGCAAGGTAATTGCCTATTCTGTCTTGTAGTGTTTTGTGTATGAGTGTTGTTTCTCCTGGAGTGCCAATGAATAGGTTGATCTACTATTTGTCAGTTCCATTCTTTTAAAGACAGACTAAAATATAAAATCTAGTTTTAGGCCATCTTTCAGAATGAAGTGTTTTCCATCAAGCTATATATGTATATATACTAGTATCATCAGGAAAAAACAGTAATTATACTTAAAAAACAGTAATAGTCCTTACCTGTCAGCTACCTTTCCCACTATTCTGCCCAGGATTCTTGTCTTAAAGGTCAATAGCCAAGCCCTGGGGGAGCAGGGTGATGAACAGGTTTGTTTTACAATATGGAAGTAGACACACACACAGTAACCCTTGTTCTAGGCCTGTCCACACAGCTTTTATCCATCAAGGGCCAAATTCTTTGTGATTATACTGTAGGAAGGGAAAAGAATGAGAAGAGCAAATGTACTTCTGTTTATCTATTCTGCCTAGATTAGGACCTTGTTTTCTCATTTGATACTGGTTTTTGCTAGGCCTAAATCATTTTTACATGCAGATAGTTCTCATTCAGGAAACTCTACAGCCAAAACCAACTAATAGTTAGAGAAGAATAGAACAAATTCAAGAATTTGTCTCACCTTATCATGTCTGGAATACAGTTTTTAGTTGAGACATATATCTCCCTCTAATTTAGTCTATATAACTCATTTTTTCCCCCAAAGGGTGATTTATGATTAAACAAACTAAGAAATACAGGTTCCTCCTTGGGAGAACTAGGCAGAGCCCTGATAATGTCACTGTCATTTTCTTTCTTTTCACTCCAATGACAGCTCCGGCTTGTGAGCCGACCCCCTTTGCCAGTACCTGCTGTAGGAATCGGCACCGTTCACCTGCAGCAGCATGAGGATGTCCTCACCAGCACCTTTGCTTGATGATACTCCTTGAAGAAATACTATTCCCTTTTAAGAAAACTGTCATAGAAAGGAACACCTGCCTTTCTCTCCTTTCTCCTTCCTGCATTATATAACCTGAGAAGCCTGTAATCCTCTAAATGTTGGGATTGATGAAGGCAGTTGAATATGGAATACATGGAATAGCCAAGGGAATCATTTATCAATACAGGAATCGACAAGTCCCTTTTACTTTTGAAAGTAAAATAGTGTTATATTTTTGTTTAGATCTGAGTTGTAGAGCTAGGTCATTATCCAGATTTTTTTTTAGTCTCCACTCTTTCTCTTTAACTGTTTATGCCTAAGAAAAGTTCTTTAGCTTGAATTTACAGCTATGTATAGATTACTTCAACATTACTGCTCAGTCTGTTTGATGTATGTTACTTTCATTAATTTTCTTTTTCTTTATTCAAAGTCCTGTGACTACCAATATTTGCCTTTTATAATCTCTGGTGCTGCTTTCCAGCCACTGTGAAAAATGTTTAACTAAACACCATAGCAAAACTATATTATTCCTTATTTGTGTTTTTCAAGATATTTTAGTCATTATCCTTAAATATTAGGTCCTATGAAATGCAAATCTCTTGGTGTATGATCTTTTAGCATGGTATTAAGAAATTTTAGTTAAAATGAAATTGATTTGTGGTCTACTTTGCCACAGTATCTTTTTTTCCCTTAATTGCTCTTGCAGTGATATAGTAATGTTTTTACTTGACTTTGGGTATCTGAAGAAATTTGGGAGATTTCAGCCCATGGTTAATTGGTCTTACTTCTAAAAGTCCCCACTGAAGTATGATGTCTATTTGTGGTGTTAAAGGAGCACTTTAACTTTGACAGAGGGAACTTCCCAGTGGCAGGCCCTGGGGAGTTACAGAGATCACCAGCCCACTCTCCTTTTCTGAAATTAAACTTAGTACTGGAAGCATAACTGAACAGCAGCAAACTGGGTGGCTTTACATGGCTTGGTGCTACAGGGGCTCTGCTATCTACCATTTGTGTGCCATGACACGGCTTTTCTCAGAAATGAAAGGGGAAGCACTGGGGCCCTGGAAAGCCCTTTCCACTTGTACTGGCAACTGGTGATGTCTTTCAGAATCAATGTATAGGCTGTTGTGGCCACAGCAGTAGATGCATGAGTCACATCTTCCTTGCATGTGTTAGTGTATTGATTTAACATTTCTATAATATTCACACCCTATAACACCTTAACACCTCCTTCCTGTGTCAAACCTCATAGATCATGTAATTTAAAGGTGCCACTTGCATAAATCAGTAACATTTCATGAGACTGGTTATTAATGTTGTGTATTGAACTAGGAAAAAAAATCAGTGTCTTTTTTTCAGATTTTTGGTTTCTTGAATTAAAAATTTTCATAAGTCTAAGCACAAAATGATGTGGGAAAACTAGATATTTCAGTTAAGTTTAGATCTCTCTAAATTTCTAACTCTACACCTTACAAGTCAGGTTCTGCTTTCTTGTTACAGCTTCTCCAACTTGAGCCATGAAATGTGTCTTCTGTATCTTAACCTTTTTACTCTCTATCACTCCTGAAACATGGGTCAGCATTTTGAATTACCTTGCAGGAAAGGAGCATTTAAATGCTCCTTTCCATATCAAGTACTCCCATAATAAAGTATGGGATAAAATATCACAATAAAATAAAAATACTTTGCTTTATTGAAGCAAACTTTAGAAATTTGGTAATGTGCTATTTGTATCCTGTTTATACCTATCTATGCTAATTTTACATTCAATACAGAGTAGAGTTCAAATTGGGTACTCAGTGAATAGAAATATTACAAACCATGCAAAAAATTCTATTTTGTCTAAAATGACACATTCTTAGTAGAAAAACACAATCTTCCTCAAAGGACCATTTTGCTCAGTTTTCCTGTGTTTTTCTATATACCTACTATAAAGAGCATAGCCTTTTTTAGCCAGACTATATCACCTTTAAGTTTTAATATTTAAGAATTCTTTGACTGACAATAGAAACAGTGTCCCTTTCACAAAACTGAGGAAAATTCAGTTTAAAGAAGTTAGGGGTTACACAGGAAGGAAGTCGTAGATTAAGGATCAAGATTTTTGAGGTGTCAAGGTTCTAAAAGCTTAACCTAATCTCTCTTGGATCTACGGATATTTGGTTTTCATCAGCTTTGTATAAGGTTTAGACTAAAACCATTTTGGGGTATTTTAGACAAAATATTTAAATCTTCAATATTTATAATACACTATAAGACAAATAACTCCTAAATTACTGTATGGACGTAGTAATTCATTGTTAAGTTTGTATTTAAATATGATAAAGCACAATCTAAAGCAGACTGTTATGTCCCTACTGCCAAATGCAAAACTAGTTCATTTTAGAAAACTTGTAATAAAAGTATGTTTAATTTAATGTTGCTTCCCTGTGTCTTCTCTGATTCATATAGAGAACCAGCTATAAATAAGAAATACAAATAAGAAATGACGCTATTAGAGTAGAATATATTTATTTAGTCAATAATTTATTGGACACCTATTACATATATTGTTCTGGACACTAGAAATACGTAGGAGGAAAAGATAGAATGGTTTGCTCTCTGTCCTCAATGGACTTGCAGTCATTTGAGAAGGAAAAGCATTTACATGTAGATAGATGTTCTTGTTGAATATGCTAAAACAATGTCAGATGTCAAGGGAGAATGATATTCCTGATAGATGTAGATGAGGTGGCTTAAAGTACTGAGTAGCACATAGTAGCAGAAAGACTGAAAAATGCTGAAAGAGTAATTTTAGAAATTGGCTAGAATGTCAAAGCTCATTTGAGGCTCTAACTTAAAACCTGGAGCTCTCCCAGAAATAAACAGTAAAGAGAAGGCATTTCTTCTTCCAATTAGATTTTCAGTTTAGTGCATCTTTATTAAAAGGATGTTATATTCATGAAATTAGCTCACAATCTAGGGCCAAAGCTGTATTTAACTCAACCATTTTCAAGATACTACAGATGATTCAAAAATTAGATAAGATTCTCCCTGTCATCTAGAAGTTTATTGTGCTAGGGGAGATTACACAAGTATGAAAATGACTAATACAAAAGTAGAATGAGGTAAAAATGAAGTCATGGGTTGTGAGATTATGACTCTGGCAGATTGTGGTCTCCAAAAGTGGCCAGGGCAATATTTTGTGTCCCACATGCTCTTCCAGAATTTTGCCAAACCCACACCTAGAACTTATTTCCTTTCCCTTTTGCAATTGAGCCAGCCTTTGTGGCTGCATCTATAAATATAATTTACTGAAAGTGATGCTGGCTCATTTCCAAGAACATGCCTTGGCACTTAGCTGCCATGTTGTGAGGAAGCCCAGGCCACATGAGAAGCCCATGAGTGCATCTGAGCTGACAGCATCAGCTGAGGTGTGAGCCAACCTCCAGCATCAAATGCTACAATTGTGAGAGAGCCTTCTGATAAGTCAAGTCCACAGCCTTGAAACTGTCCCAGATGACCTCAGGTGGAGCAGAGACCATTGCAAGCCTCGCCTAAATCACCATGTATGTATGTATATGTATATGTATATGTTCAAAGATAAGCAAAGCCTGGAAGTAGTTAAAGTGGACAGGACAGATTTTTTTTTTACTTTATTTTTATTTATTTTTTTTGGTATCATTAATCTACAGTTACATGAAGAACATTATGTTTATTAGGCTCCCCCCTTCATCAAGTTTCCCCCACATACCCCTTCACAGTCACTGTCCATCAGCATAGTAAGATGCTGTAGAATCACTACTTGTCTTCTCTGTGTTGCATGGCCTGCCCTGTGCGCCACCCCCAACACTATACATGCTAATAAAGCAGTCCACTTTACTTTTAATCTGTCTGTCTTTATATTTAAAGTGTGTTTCTTGTAGACTACATATAGGTGGCTCTAGTTTTTGATCTACTCTGATAATCACTGTCTTTTCATTGGTATATTAGATCATTATTTAGTGATTATTGATATAATTGGACTAATATCTACCATATTTGTTATATTTGTTGCCTTTGTTCTTTGTTCCTATTTTTTGTCTT